CTTGTCAATGGGTTACAGCTCTCCAAGTTTGGCAATTTGTTGAGCTTCAGTGACAAATGAATGCAACAGTGTTGCTGATTTATCGAGCAGCACCGATCTCTAAGTTACTGGTCGACTTTGATTTCCTTTGCCATCTCTACTCTTCAGGGAATTCAAGGGAGACAACACTAGAATGGCAACGAGAAATTGGATGCGCTAGTGGGGCTAATTGTTTGAGCCATTTGGTGAGCAGAACTGCTACTCTCAGGAAATGACCATGCCTGTGTGAACACCCACACTCACAAAAGTCCTCAAGTGTCACAAAGTGTGGGAATAGGAAAAGGGCCATTCTAACTTCCTCCTCAGCACCAGAGATGCTTCCATCAGTGAAAGGGTTAAGGATAAAACCCAAGAGGCCCCACTACTCCGCGTGAGCACTCCCCCTCTTGAGAAGGGAAGTCAGTCCTCAGGAATTTACTTTCTCCTGGAATGAGTAATTGATCCGGGCATGATATAATGCATGGTTCACTCACTCGGGTTTCTAAAAGAATATTCTACAAGTGATTCACAAGAAAAATAAAAATGATTCCGTGGTATGGGGCTGTGGAAGGGAAGGAAGCCAGAGGATGGCATTGCTATGAAAACATTAATTCAAATTGGCTGGTTGTAAATTTACTTAGGAAGGAACTACTGGAGCAAACTTGTAAAGAAGCCTGCTTGGCTGCTCCCATGAGCACTCTTGATTAGACTGACTCAGCCTTTCAGAGTGCCTATGCAAAGTAGGAGAAAGACGTGGAACCAGGAACTCTTCTACCAGCAAGAATTGTGCCTGGAGCTAGAAACAGAACTGTGCTATGCGGAATAAATAAAGGCTATTATTATTATTATTATTTTTTTTTGACAGGCAGAGTGGACAGTGAGAGATAGAGACAGAGAGAAAGGTCTTCCTTTGCCGTTGGTTCACCCTCCAATGGCTGCCGTGGCCAGCGCACCGTGCTGATCCGATGGCAGGAGCCAGGTGCTTCTCCTGGTCTCCCATGGGGTGCAGGGCCAAAGCACTTGGGCCATCCTCTGCTGCACTCCCTGGCCACAGCAGAGAGCTGGCCTGGAAGAGGGGCAACTGGGACAGAATCCGGTGCCCCGACTGGGACTAGAACCCGGTGTGCCGGCGCCGCAAGGCGGAGGATTTGCCTATTGAGCCGCAGCGCCGGCCAATAAAGGCTATTTTCTAATACGCATGTCTGGAGTAAGGACATGAGCTCACTGTGTATGGTGGATCCTGCTCTTGGAGTCAGGAGTAATTCAAGTTCCTGTATTTCAGCTTTGCTTCTGACTCAATGATTTGCAAGAGGGTATTTGAGAGCAATGGAAGAACGGACTACCCTACATGGGTTAAAGTCTTCCAGCCTGGGTGAAGCGCATTCTAGCAGGTGTGTGCAACTTTTAGATGAGATGGATAATATCACTGTGAGGGATCTTTGACAAACCTGGGAGAAGAGGAGTGATAGAAGACTAGAATGAATAAAGAGTAAGGAACTTTGTCACCAAAAGTGTAGATGGTGGTAAGTTGAGGCCAAGGCCAGGCCAAAGGTCTTCACGTGATGGCTTGTGTCTCTTGCGGTATAGCAGTAGCAGTTCCCAGGAATCAGCATCAGTGTTCTAAGGGCAGATTAGGTTGAATTGCTTCCCTGTTCTTGTTGCACTGAGCCACTCATTGGTCAGGGAAATGTGTGGCAGCCAGAATGTGTTTTGTCTTCAGCAAACATTGAACAATGTCCTGTGGGTACTGTGGGAATGTGAGGGCTGTTTGTAGACTTAGAAACAGGCTGAATGATTATGCAGTTAATATCAAGTCCAGGGATCTGTGCAGTGTGGATCTCTGCCAATGTCAGTTTCAACATTTTCATCAATGAAATCAGTGATTAAAAATAGAGAAAAAGGAAGAACAAACCGACAGCAAAAGAATCCTGTGTGGCTTGGATGAGATGAGCAGAGCAGGAAAGTCCCAGCTTCCCGTACCGTCTTCAGTGCTGTACTTTCTCTCAAACACACAGTTTAGTATACAAACGTGGCATCTCGGTGTCACTTTACATGTTCCTGGTTTGTAAAAGAGCATTTGATCCAAGATTATTGACCATCTACAATTGTGTTTTATATTTGATTTACCTTTCCATAGAATGTGCTCATTTTGTCTTTCCCTTATTAATTTGTGACACTGTCTAAATGTTAACTCCTTGCCTGGTCCAAATATTTTATCCAGTTTGCTACTGGGCTTTTCATCTTGCAGTAGTTTTTGGTGTAAGGATTGTATGCCTTTTTTTTTTTTTTTTTTTGACAGGCAGAGTGGACAGTGAGAGAGAGAGACAGAGAGAAAGGTCTTCCTTTGCCGTTGGTTCACCCTCCAATGGCCGCCGCGGCCGGCGCGCTGTGGCCGGCGCACCGCGCTGATCCGATGGCAGGAGCCAGGAGCCAGGTGCTTTTCCTGGTCTCCCATGGGGTGCAGGGCCCAAGCACCTGGGCCATCCTCCACTGCACTCCCTGGCCACAGCAGAGAGCTGGCCTGGAAGAGGGGCAACCGGGACAGAATCCGGCACCCCGACCAGGACTAGAACCCGGTGTGCCGGCGCCGCAAGGTGGAGGATTAGCCTAGTGAGCCGCGGCGCCGGCCAGGATTGTATGCTTTTAATATGGCTAAGTCTCTTATTCTCTTATTTCAAGATTTCTGTGTCAATAAATATACTTAGAAAATTCTTGTGTACAGTAATATTAGATAAAAATTCCCTAACATTTTCTAATTCTGTAAGTTTCAAGTCTTTAATCCATCTGATTTTACTTTGGTATATTGTATAAGCTCTAATCATACTTACTTTATGGTTAGCCAAGTTTCTCAACACTATGAATAAGTATGATTATTAATAATTTCGGATTTACCCAATGATTTGAAACTAACAAACTAACAATAGTAATAGTAATAGTAGCTGATATTTTCTTGTTGCTTACTTGATGCCAGGCATGGTTCTAACATTTATTAACTCACTGATTTCTCACAATAGCCCTGTAGGGTGGATACTGTTTTTTTCATTCCCATATTGTTATAGCATCCTTCAGTGTGGAAACTGAGGCATGGAATGGCTGAATAACTTGCTCCAAGTTACACAGTCAGGGAGTGGTAGTGTTCAGATAAAGACTTGGACAACCTGACCCTGGTATTTAAGCTTTGAAGTTATTTGGCAACATTGGTCTTGCTTCTAGACTTTCTTTTCAAAATTTTTATATTTGAGAGAGAGAGAGAGAGAGAAAGAGAGAGAAAGTATTCCTATCTGCAAGTTCACTTCCCCAGTGTAGACAATGACTGAAGCTGGGCTGGACAGAGCTGGGAGCTGGGAACTGAAGCCAGGTCTTCCTTGCAGGTGGTAGGGACCCAACCACTTGAGCAGCACCTGCTGCCTCCCAGAGAGTGCATTAGAAGGAAGCTGGAGGCGGGTGTCAAAGCCAGGTGGGTGTCAAAGCCAGGATGTGGGCTTCTTAATGCGTCGTAGGCTATTTTGTTCTGTATATTCATCCCTATCTTGATACTGCACTGTTTTAATTCCTCATAATTGAAGTCCCTCTTCAAATATTAATGTTCTTTACTAATTTCTAATTTAATTATTGCCTCTCCTTCAGGTACAGAATGTTGCATCTAGAGTTTTAAGGCCCATTCCTTCCGAATACCAAAGGCAGCCTGTGTTTCTCTAGGAAGCCAGTTGACAGGACTTTTTGAGGATTTGTTTGCAGGACTCTTGCACAGGAGGTGTGTTCATGGCTGCTCTTGCTGCTGCCGGGTATACGAGACAGAATTCCCAATAAAACCAGAGAGCTCTTCATATAGATTACATAGTCGTGTTTAACCACTCTGTGCCTTGGCTCTTCAACCATAAAAAGGGAATGATAGGGCTGGCATTGTGGCTTGGTGGAGTAAGCCACCACCTTTGATGCTGGCAGCCCCTATCAGGCTACTGGTGCAAGTCCCGGCTGCTCCACTTCAGATCCAGCCCCCTTCTAATCCACCTGGGAAGGCAGCAGGAGACGGTCTAAATAATTGGGTCCCTGCCTCCCATGTGGGAGACCCGGATGGTGTTTCAGTCTTCTGGACCAGCCCCAGCTGTTGCAGCCATTTGGGGAGTGGATGGAAGATTCTCTTTGCTCTGTCTCCCCCCTCTCTGCCTTATAAATGAATAAAATCTTAAAAAAAAAAAAAGACAATAATAATAGTGCTGAGTAGAGAGGGTGATTTAGGTAACTGAACGTGTTGCTATTTGTGAGGGGCTCGGAACCTGTCACTGTATCTGCTGCCTAGGGTGTTCTAAGTCAACATTTGCAGATGAGAATGCAGCCTGTGCCGCCATGTGGTGCTGATGCAGTCACTTGGCTCAGATGCGCAGCTCACACGTGGGTGTTCGTCAGTTTACAACCAGTGACCTCCCCGGAGCTGGCAGCAGTGCGCCCCAATAGAACTGTATCCTTGAGAGCACTTTTACATCCGTGTTCTTATTCTAAACTCCCAGCCACCTGCTCAGCAGGGCAAGACGACACTGCCCTCACTGAGGTATAGGGAAGATGACAGGAGGGTGTTAGCTCTGTTTGATCAGCGAAGCTATCCCTTTTGGAGCTGAAGTTCAAGTGATGTCAGAGTGACTTCCTTCTCCATACCAGGAAAACTGTCCCCCAAACCTGCCAGTGTAACTGGCTAGAGAGGGGGACAGCAGAAAGCAACAGCCGGGCCAGTGGCTTCTTCCTCCTGGGAGTTCTACCCTGATCTGATTCCCCACTTCCTTTTCAGAAATACCCCACGCTGTGGCCTTCTGAGACGCCCCTCCCCCATCCACAGGCTCCACTCTAGAGGCACAAGGGCACGATGGGCCTTCTTGGGATTCTTTGTGCCACGGGACCAGGCTGGGGGGGAGGAGACGGGAGTGGGCCTCCCCGGAGGGCGCCGGTGCAGGTGCGCAGTGAGCTCAGCATGTGGTTTTGTCCCGCAGCCTTGTCGCCGCTGCCGCTGCTGCCGCAGATGCTGGGTGTGGGACTGGGCTCCGTGGCCGCCGTGGTGCTTCTCGTGTTCCTCTCTTTCTCAGCAGTGTGGTATGTGAGGCTGTCATTTTTGAGAAATGAGCGGAATGGAGGGGACTCTGGGGTTGGAGCCATGCAGAACAGCTGGGGCAGAGGCGGGCCGCAGGGGTAGGGGGTAGAGGCTGCCCTGGGCTCAGCAGGTGAAGGCGTGACTAAGCAGGCTGCAGCTGGGATGGAGACGGGCAACAGAAAAGCAGGGGCTGTGAGGGCTGCCCCGGCCACACACAGAGCAGCAGCTGATCGCCCACGCTGCTTCCCCAGCCCCACCTCCCCATCCCGGGAGACAGATGTGCGCTGCACGAGGATGCCTGCTGGGGAGGCCACGGTGTGTTCATTATTTGCCTCTTCTCTCTTTCTCCTCATAGATGGCAGATGGAGGTGCTACTGCCGGGGCAGGTGTTCTGACAGCCCGCACAGAGGCCCCATGGGACTTCCAGCCGTGGAATGTGTGCACCCACATCTTTCCCCACTCGCTGCTTGGCCTCATTCCTGGATTCCAGATGGTGACTGTCTCTGTAAAGTCCCGACCCCAGAGGGCTTCCCTGCGATGGAACCAGTTCTGTGTCTTTGAGCCTGAAACTCCTGGTGCCCAGTGCCCAGGCTACAGGCCGCCTGGGTCTGGGCTGGGACCTCCTCTGAGCGATGCCCGAGGGTCCGCTCCTTCGGACAAGATCTCTGCCTTGGCCTCTAGAGCAGCTCTGTTCGTTGACTCAGAATCCACTTATGTCCAGCCTGCAGTGAGATTGAGACAAGGGCAAACATTTCAAGCAGCCCTTTCCCCATATTTAATCAGTGTACTAATTAGAAGATCTATGAGCCTGGTCGTGCCCTGTAATTGTGTCAGGCAGCATTGCTTCGGGACAATTCTGCTTGTTCTGTATATTCAAAACTAATGTCTGCATTCCAATAAGAATTTTTTTTTTTTTAAATTGGAGACTGTTCTTTCTTTGGTTTATTCTTATTACTGAATATCTCCTAAAAACACTCTGTGCCTCCCTTTGGGAATTTGGGTTCAGTGGTACCGTAGTAACAATGGGTTGAAACAGTATCAAGTCCATGGCCAACATGTGTTGCAGGAGCTGGGGACCATGCTATCTGTAATTTTTTTTTTTGTTTGTTTTTTGGACAGGCAGAGTGGACAGTGAGAGAGAGAGACAGAGAGAAAGGTCTTCCTTTGCCGTTGGTTCACCCTCCAATGGCCGCCGCGGCCAGCGTGCTGCGGCCGGCGCACCGTGCTGATCCGATGGCAGGAGCCAGGAGCCAGGTGCTTTTCCTGGTCTCCCATGGGGTGCAGGGCCCAAGCACCTGGGCCATCCTCCACTGCACTCCCTGGCCACAGCAGAGAGCTGGCCTGGAAGAGGGGCAACCGGGACAGAATCCGGTGCCCCGACCGGGACTAGAACCCGGTGTGCCGGCGCCGCTAGGCGGAGGATTAGCCTAGTGAGCCGCGGCGCCGGCCAGCTATCTGTAATTTCTGTCTGTAATCTCAGTAATGAGCACCGTTACCACATCATGAACCATGAAGCATTAGATACGAGCAGTCCCACACCAGCTGTCAGTGTGCTGAATTCACAGAAGGGGTGTATCCGATTTCACTTTTAAAGTCTGAATCAGTATTTTTTTTAACTTTGCTCTCTGACAGTTAACTGCAAGGCTCAGCAAGAAATGAAAGAAGAAAGGCAGAGGCTTGTGGCTTCTCTCCCTCTTCTTCCTCCCTTGGTCGACCTAGAGAATAAATAGCATGGGGAGGAGGGCGAGGGTGGCTGCATTGCACAACCTCAAGGAGTGGCATCGTGAATGTGGCCCTGGACTTGGGCACTGTTTGGTCCCCAGGGAAAGAGGCAATCTTTCCAATGCCACAGGCCAGTGTGTTCTCTACTGGCCTGCTGGGGACAGATCCGAGACGCCTGGTCGTGTGGTTTGGATTTGGTTTGTCCCCATCACAGCTTATGTTGAAATGTGATGGCTGCTGTGGTGGGGTTGCATGTGGGGACTTGAAAAGATGACTAGCATGTTAAGAGGGAGTAACACCCTTATTGCGAGGCTGGATGGGTCACCAAAAGAGAGGATGTTATTGAAGTGAGCTCACCCTTCCCTCATATTTTATCTCTTTACCCCACTCCCCCACTTACCTTGCAATTTTCTGTCATGCCAGAGGCAGAGCTGTACCAGTGCCATGTTGTTGAACTTCCCAGTCCCCAGACCTATGGGGAGAGAGAGAGAGAGAGAGAGAGAGACCTACCCAGCCTCCTGCTAATGTATCTGGGAAGGTGTCAGATGCTGGCCCAAGTGCTTGGGCCCCTGCCCCTCATGTGGGAGACACAGATGGAGTTCCTGGCTCCTGACTTCAACCTAGCCTAGTCATGGCTGTTGCAGCTATTTGGGGCATGAACTAGTAAATGGAGGATTGATCGGAGGATTGATTCTCTATCTCTCTCTCTCTCTCTTTCTCTCTCTTCCTCACTGTGTCTCTCTGCCTTTCAAATAAATAGATCTCAAAAAAAAAAAAAAGATAACCAGTAAACAAAACTCTTCTTGCTCTCATGTGAATTATAGAGTATTCAAAAGGCTCATACAGATAACTCTATTCATTTTTCGGTGCAAAAATTCACACCCTCACTGTTTTTGTAGCTCTCTTACTCAATTTGGAGTCATTACAAATTATTGTGGTCAGTACAGGGCAGGACCACAGATGAGAAAGGACTTAAAGACCATCTCTGTCAGAAGAGAGAATCTGACCCCCACCTCACCCCCTTATTTTTTTAAAACTGTATGTTTCTGTAACTCCTCTGATTTCTAGCTCTAGAATTAACTGCCAAAGACACAGTTGTCCACATGAAAACTTAGCATAATTGTCATAGAGAGGAAGAAATGCCACCTGCCCAGACTCAAACGTCTCTGGATAAAATATTAAGTAAAGCATCAACTTCTGGGTACAGCACTGAAACGTAAAAATAGTTCCTGTCAGATGACTGAAGTGGCCACGCCATGGACTGTGTCATTTCCTGTAACTGCTGCAAATTACCATGCAGAGTGGCTCAGCATTAATGCTTAAGAGACTGGTGTTGAGCATTTTCAAAAAGGATGCATAATTTCTCTGTAGTTCTTTAAAAATTAGTTTTCTCATAATCACAAAGATGACTTGAAGTTCTCTAAATTTGCCTGCTAGCTTTACCACAGTACCATTTAAAATTTTTTAATTAGTTTTAACAGATTCAATGTGATTTGTAGATGCAATTCTAAGAACACAATGATATTCCCTTCTTCTCTCCCTCCTTCCTAGCCCCTCCCATCCTCCTCCCTTCTCTTTTTTTTATTTTTTGAGATAGCATTTTAAATATACATTATGGTAAAAAGGCTTAATACTTCACCAAATAAGTTTGACAAATAAAAAGCAAAAAGACCCTAGTTTAGTGGGAATATAGACAATGGCTATAAAACAGTAATTGAATGAAAAAATGACCACTTCACCCATATGAAGTAATCTTAATCACAGGAGATTAAAACTATGATAGAATAACATTCTTAACCATTGGTTTGACAAAGGTATAAAAGTTTTACAAAACTATATTTGCATCAGTACCGATCACACAGATTGATCTCTCTCTCTCTCTTTCTTTCTTCCTTCCTTCCTTCCTTCCTTCCTTCCTTCCTTCCTTCCCTCCCTCCCTCCCTCCCTCCTTTCCTCCCTCTTTGATTTTAGCTGCCACATGTAAGGGGGAACTTCTGATATTTGTCTTTGTGGGTCCGGCTTATTTCACTCAACATACTGTCTGTTGTGTCCATTGTGCTGTCAATGGTGGACTTTCATTCTTTTTTATAGCTGAGTAAGATTCCCCTGTGTTATAGGTACCACATTTTCTTTATCCATTCATCTGATGAAGGACACCTTGGTTGATTCCAGATTTTGGCTGTTGTGAACAGTGCTGCTATAAACATGGTGGTGTAGGTATCTCTTTATATGGTGTTCAAGTCTTTTGGGTATGTAGCCAGTAGTGGGATTGCTGGGTCATATGGCGAGTCTATTTTTAGTTTTTTAAGAAGTCACACTGTTTTCCTCAGTGGTTACACGAATTTACATTCCCACCAGCAGTATAGAAGTGTTCCCGTCTGTCCACATCCTCACCAGCATTTGTATTCTCTGTGTTTTCGATTTTAGTCATTCCGACAGGGGTGTGGTTTTTTTCACATATTTGTTGACCATTTGTATTTCTTTTGAGGACTGTCTAGTGGAGTCTTTGTGCATTTCTCAACTGGATTAGTTGTTTTTTCATTGTTGAGTTTTTTTTTTTTTTTTTTTTTTTGACAGGCAGAGTTAGAGAGAGAGACAGAGAGAAAGGTCTTCCTTCCTATTGGTTCACCCCCTAAATGGCCGCCATAGCCGGCGAGCTACGCTGATCCGAAGGCAGGAGCCAGGTGCTTCCTCCTGGTCTCCCATGCGGTGCAGGGCCCAAGCACTTGGGCCATCCTCCACTGCCTTCCCAGGCCACAGCAGAGAGCTGGCCTGGAAGAGGAGCAACGGGGACAGAATCTGGCACCCCAACCAGGACTAGAATCCGGTGTGCCTGCGCTGCAGCCTAAGGATTAGCCAAGTGAGCTATAGCACCGGCCCATTGTTGAGTTTTTTACATTGCTGATATATGCAGGATATAAATCCTTTGTTGTACGGGTGGTTTGCAAATATTTTTTCCCATTCTGTTGGATTTATCTTCATTTTATTGATAGTTTCCTTTGCTGTGCAAAAACTTCTGAGTTTGGTATAGTCCCATTTGTTTTTGCTTTTGTTGCTTGTGCTTTGAGGGCTCTTGTCCAAGAAGTCATCCCTTGCACCAGTATCTTGGAGTGTTTCCGCTATGTTTTCTTCCAGCATCTTCATAGCTAGTGTTTTTTCTAAGTGGAATCCCAGGTAAGAGAGAGGAGCCTGGGCCAGCGCCGCGGCTCACTAGCCTAATCCTCCGCCTTTCAGCGCCGGCACACCGGGTTCTAGTCCCAGTTGGGGCACTGGATTCTGTCCCGGTTGCCCCTCTTCCTGGCCAGCTCTCTGCTCTGGCCCAGGAGTGCAGTGGAGGATGGCCCAAGTGCTTGGGCCCTGCACCCCATGGGAGACCAGGAGAAGCACCTGGCTCCTGCCTTTGGGTCGGTGCGGTCCGCCGGCTGCGGCGGCCATTGGAGGGTGAACCAACAGCAAAGGAAGACCTTTCTCTCTGTCTCTTCTCTCACTGTCCACTCTGCCTGTCAAAAAAAAAAAAAAAAAAAAAAAGAGAGAGAGAGAGAGAGAGAGAGGAGCCTGACTCTGGGTCTTCCTGGGAGAAGGAAGGGTCGCCCCTGCGGAAGGCCTGATCCAAGCAACCCTCTGCAGACAGGGCAGGGTGGCTGGGTGGTGCGTCCCACCAAATAAAGCTGTGTCCTGAGGAGGGGATGGAGGGAGGGTCTCGGCCCAGCGAGCTATCTGGGGGACAGTGTGGAGGGGGGAGCTCTGAGATCCAATCTTGAGCTTCCTTTTCAGTGAGCATCATGATCGGGGGCCCCCCAGACATGGAGCATACTGACCCCCAGCTGGTGACTTTGTACAGCAGGCGCATCCACCTGTGTGCTCTCTTTCCATCCTCACAATGGCTGTGTGTAGTGGGAAGGTCAGGGGTTGGGCCCCACTTCAGAATGGAGACAAGGGTTCAGACGGTCATCTGATGAACTGTGGGAGCACGCCTTCGGACAGCAGGTCCAGGACTCTGGGAGCTCTTGAGCACGTCTCTGAGGTGGTTTTCAAACTGGCTTTTTGATCTTTGGAATGTGAAGCCTTTACATTTCCAAACAGCAAGCACACACATACACTCGCTACCTCAGAAAGCTTGTGGAAAGTGGGGACAGGTGCTTGGCCTCGCGGCTAAGATGCCTGCATCTCCTACTGGAGTGCTTGGGTTTGATTCCCAGCTCCGGCCCCTGACTCCAGCGTCTTGCTGATGTGAATCCCAAGAGGCACTGGTGATGGTTCAAGTATTGTTCCTGCCACCGGACAGGAGGCCTGGATTGTGTCCCCAGGTCCTGGTTTTGGCCTCAGCCCAGCCTTAGCTATTTGTGGGTATTTGGGGAGAGAACCAGCAGACAAGAGCTCTGTCTCTGCCTCTCACATTTAAAAAGAAAGGTTGCGCAAAGTGGAATGAAAAGATAAGTTTATTTTGGTACAAAAAAATTTCAAATCCTGCAAAATTTTTCATAATATGCATTTTTCATGAACTTTCTGAAGACTTTTCATTTATCTGAATTTTACAGTTTTTTCACCAGAATAAGTTTATCTTTTAATTCCATTTTCCACAAATTTTTAAAAATTTATTAAAGAAGGGGACCATTGTGGTGCAGTGTGTCAGGCTGATGCTTTGGCGGCCTGCATCCCTTAGCAGAGCACTGGTTTGAGTCCTGGACACTCTGCTTCCAAATTCTGCTCTCTGCTAATGTGCCTGGGAAGCTGCAGATGATGGTTGAAGTACCTGAGTTCCTGCCACCCACGTAGGAGACCCAGATGAAGTTCCCGACTCCTGGCTACAGCATGGCCAGTACTGGCCGTGAGTATATCTTAGTATATGTGTGTGTGTGTGTGTGTGTGTGTGTGTGTGTGTGTGTGTGTGTGTAGTCTCATGGACTTTAAAAGACATTTATTAAAAAGGAAGAAAAGGACAGACATTGTGGTGCAGTGGGTTAAGCTGCTGCTTGGGCACCCCCATCCCATTGTCTGAGCCAAGTCTGGCTACTCTACCTCCAATCCAGCTCACTGCTAAAGTGCATCCCTAGGAGGTGGCAGATGATGGCTTAATTATGTGAGTCTCTGCCACCCACCTGGGAGCCCAGGATGGCGTTCCTGGCTCCTGGCATCAGCCTGCCCAGCCCTGTCTGTTTTAGCCTTTTGGGGAGTGAACCAGCAGGTGGAGCATCTCTGTCTCCCTCCCCTGTTTTCTGTTGCTCTGCCTTTCAAACGAATGAAAGTAGTAAAAGTTTGAGAACCAGAGAATGGTTCAGGTTTACTTCTTAAATGCCCAAATCAGCTGGGTTTGGGCTGGGGCTGATGTCCAGAGCCAGGCGCTCAATCCAAGTCTCCTATGTGGGTCGTAGAAACCCAGTCACTTGAGGGTCTACATTGGAAGGAAGCTGGAATCCAGATCTGGAGCCAGGAATTGAACCAAGGTACTCTGGTTTGGAATATGGTTGAATGTAGTTGTCTTAACTATGAGTCTAGTACCTGCTCCTTCCACAAACTTTGCAGTCCCTCTGTGTGTGTGTGTGTGTGTGTGTGTGTAACCATTGCCTCTGTCATGGAATGTGCCTTTTTATATTTTTGTTGTAAGATACCTGCACCTGTCCCTTCTAGAAGGAGCCACAATCAAGCACATGATGGAGAATAATTAGGGGAAACAGGTGAAGGTCTATTCTCTGACTCAAGGTCTGCAGTTACAAGCTGAATGCGAGATATGACCAGAGCAGAAGTGATTATCTGGAAATTCCACACTGGTTTGGAATAAAGTTGATATTTAAATTGATTTTATTTATTTGACAGGCAGAGTGGACAGTGAGAGAGAGAGAGAGAGACAGAGAGAAAGGTCTTCCTTTGCCCTTGGTTCACCCTCCAATGGCCGCCGCACCGCGCTGATCCGATGGCAGGAGCCAGGTGCTTCTCCTGGTCTCCCATGGGGTGCAGGGCCCAAGCACTTGGGCATCCTCCACTGCACTCCCAGGCCACAGCAGAGAACTGGCCTGGAAGAGGGCCAACCGGGACAGAATCTGGCGTCCTGACCGGGACTAGAACCCGGTGTGCCGGCGCTGCAAGGTGGAGGATTAGCCTAGTGAGCCGCAGCGCCGGCTGATATTTAAATTGATTTTAAAGGAAGTTAAAGAGCATTCTTAGTTCCTCTTTGATTGTTTATCTCATGTTCTGATTTTCTAAGCTTTCTGTTTTTCCATTCTGTTCTTCTGAGAGAAAAATCACTGGTCCCAGCCACCCATCCATCAAATAGTGTTTTAAGGCCCTTTGGCTCTCCACATTATTGGTTAAATTAAAGAAGGAGGAGGAGGGCTTCACCTATTCCATGCTCATGTTGGTGGATGGATGTTGCAATGAAACAAACCAATTTAAAAGGCAACGCAGGCGCCTGTTTCATAGAAGGAGTAATTTTGGTGGTGCTGGTGTGTGGATGTGTGTGTCCCCGTGTGCACTGGTGTGTGGATGTGTGTGTCCCTGTGTACCCTGGTGTGTGGATGTGTGTGTCCCCGTGTGCACTGGTGTGTGGATGTGTGTCTCCCCATGTTCACTGCTGTGTGGATGTGTGTGTCCCCATGTGCACTGCTGTGTGGATGTGTGTGTCCACATGTACCCTTTTTGCATACAACTCAGGGTTACCAAAGTGGAGCCAAACTACACCTGTGGTATTGTCCTTTCTCTCACTCATCAACATTTCCTGGATACATTTTTCCTGTTCATAATGACTGCATTAAGGACATACTTTTCTCTGGAGAACTTCCACTTTGCCTTGGCCTTGCCTAAATACTGACGGACACTGTGGTCTCCAGAGGCTTCCGTAGCTGTGTCAATTGTTAAATTAACAGCAGGAG